ATGGGAAATGCACTCACAAAATTTCGTACGGATATGTTTGGTATTTCTTGAGTTATCGTGCTCACAGACAAACACACACACACACACACATACACACACACATACACACACACATACACACACACATACACATACACACACACATACAAACCCAGATGATTACATAACCTCCTGGCGGAGGTAATGATTTGTTTTTGCATAATAAGCCTCGTTTTCGTGCAGTTGAAGGCGCGGTCACTAAGTTTCGCAATTGGCCTATACATCTCGGCACAGGTCTCAGTCCAGTTTTTGCCACTGTCATCGATTTGAAAATTGTCAGGTTCACTGATTGACTGTTCAATCTCACTTATCAATTGATCTAACGATTTAATAAGTTCTGAAAATTCAGCTTTATGTTCATTTAGTTCGTCCTTATCTAGCTTTTCTGTATTTTGTTTGGCTGTTTCCACTTTAATGATTGCACTTTTCATATCTTGGTTTAATCGCTTCCGCTTTCGCTCTATAAATTTCCTTTTCTTGTCATCACTATCTTTATTTGCATTGAGACTGGTATTACTTGTTTTTGGATCTGGTTTGGATCTCATAGTAAAATACATAAGCTTACTGCTATTTTCTCTTACTCGATCATCATGCATTTCTAATTCTTCATTATCCTTATCAACTAAATCAGAATCTTCAAGATTAAGGGCAAGTTCACTAGCCTGTTCGTGTATGCTTTGAAACTGTTGATCTAAGTCTTGAATATCGCTGAGGAATTGTTTAGCACATACCATATCATAGTCCGTGACTTCTTCTTTCACTACAAGTGTAGTTATTTTCTTTTCTAAGTTGGTAATTCTTCGTTTAACCATAGGCTGCCAAAAGTTGCTGTTGAAATTTTTACCCTCGCGCGTGGCGCTCGGGCATTCATCGAGTCTACTCAGTTTATTATTACCGAAATCAGTAGAGTGTCTTTTCCGGAAGTTGAAAAGACAGTTAAAAGCCAGTAGAAACGTTCATGTTTTATGACGTCACGGTGAAGGAATGCAGCGTGGAACTTGTAAGTTATTTTACTTATTAGTAACTTTACTTAAGTGCCTTCCCACGAATAAAGGTTCTCCCTAGTGTGAGGCGGTTTCTACAAAAAAACAAAAACCGACCAAAAACCCCCGAAAAAAGCGAGTAAACCGGGGTTTTTTTAAAAAAATATGTTCGAAAATTGAAACTACAGTTTAAAAAAAGACACAACACGCTATATGAATATCTTAAGCCTGTCTTCGCAGACGTCCGCCTTTATTACCAGAGAATCCAAATTCACCATCGTTTGATCCGCTTATCCGTTCAAGACCTCAAGCTGGCGCGAAATTGTAGAATGATATTAAACGTAAGGTATTTTGAAGATGTTATCAAATTTTAAACAAAATCTCTTTAGTTTTCGTGTGTAAATGCCAAAGTTGATTCATTTGCAACAAATCCGTATAAGTATGGTTCCATTTCGGTTTCCCCCCGTTTTTTTTCGGTTTTCCCGTCTTTCTCCAAAAGTAACATCGAGTAACTCGGTTTTCAAAAAACATCGGTTTTACCGCCTCACCCTAGAACTTCTCCCTTTGCTCAAAAGCTTGTTTTGTGTTTGGCGAGCCATTGGCAATTTGTCAAACTAAATAAAGTTACTAATAAGTAAAATAACATACAAGTTCCACGCTGCATTCCTTCACCGTGACGTCATAAAACATGAACGTTTCTACTGGCTTTTGACTGTCTTTTCAACTTCCGGAAAAGACACTCTACTGATTTCGGTAATATTATCACAGAATAGAAAATAGACCAGAAGCCTCACTTAGCCAAAATTGTGTCCGAGATTTTTTATGCGCAGGCGCGAGTCAGCAAGTGTAATCACGACACCATCAAACGCCATCACTAGGTAATAAAGATTGCTGTTTTAACCGTTTTGCTGACGAACGCTGACGTGGTGTTCGCAGCAAGTGTCACACACGTCATCTAGCGTGCGAAATTCGTGATCTGCAAGGCGAAAATTGCGGACACGAAAATGTTAGGAAAAGATATACAGTGAGGCTTCTGGTCCATTTTCTTTTCTGTGATATTATGACAAGGTTGGCAAGAGTTTTAACGGAAATTTATTACAACGTTTACTAGAGTATGAATATTTCGCAAATTACAAACAAAAACAATATAAAATCTACATCAATTCAAACACTGGTAATTTTACTACATTTTCTCAAAGTTTTAACTTCAAAAGTTCATTCTAAGGTTGTTAAAAAATCGAATTATTTTCGTGGTTTTTTCAAAATTTTGTCAAAACTATGCCGGAGTCACGTACCCTGTGGTGATGTCATATTTTTTAAATCTTGAAGAAGCGTTGATTTGCTGTTGTACTGGAATCGTGTACAACGCAAATCAACGCTTCTTCAAGATTTAAAAAATATGACATCACCACAGGCAAAGATTAATCTTTGCCACAGGGTACGTGACCCCAGCATAGTTTTGACAAAATTTTGAAAAAAACCCGAAAATAATTCGCTTTTTTAACAACCTTAGAATGAACTTTTGAAGTTAAAACTTTGAGAGAATGTAGTAAAATTACCAGTGTTTGAAATGATGTAGATTTTATATTGTTTTTGTTTGTAATTTGCGAAATATTCATACTCTAGTAAACGTTGTAATAAATTTCCGTTAAAACTCTTGCCAACCTTGTCATAATAATAAACTGAGTAGACTCGATGAATGCCCGAGCGCCACGCGCGAGGGTAAAAATTTCAACAGCAACTTTTGGGCAGCCTATGGTTTAAGAAGGCTTCTTTTATGTACAAACGTTGCTCGCTCTTCTTGCACAGGGATATTGAAGCGTGTCTAATCGATAGACGACGATATTCGCTGATTCAGACGTTGAATCCGTTCCGAAGGACCAATAAATAGTTTCGCCAACGGTGCAGTTTCGCCAACGGTTTTGTGTTTTTTAATATAAATTTTACATTATGTCTTAAGTTTGTTTAAAAGCGTGATAACAAGCACGAGTTACTTTTTCCTACTGCGCATGTGCGCGAAAGCATTACGTAATGTTAACTAAATGATTCTTATATGAAGTTCGACGCGTGTCCAGATCTAAAGAAGGCTAGTGTCAGCAATCAAGGTATTAAATGATCTGAATTCAAACAATCTGCAATTCTCAGATTGCCAGATAATTCATTCCAAAGTTTCGCACCGCAAAACCCAACACTTTTCTTTAAGTATTCAGTATTAGGTTTCTGTAAATACAATTTGAATGCGTTATTACGTAAGTTATAGATTTGTTGTGAATTTTCAAAGATTTTGGTCAAAGCAACTGGTGCTTGCGAATGAGTAATTTTATACATAAGTCTGGCCTTCATGATAACCTAATATGACCCTTGCTGCTCTATTTTGTAAAGTCTGAATTCGATTTGAAAGCGTGGCACCAATTGGGTCCCACACAAGGCAGCAGTAGTCAAAATAAGGTTGAACCAAAGCATAATAGACTGATATAAGTGACTCACGAGAAACATAACTTGTTAGTCTTCTGATTGCACCAATTCCCGAGGACGCCTTAGTTTACATATTTCCTCCAAATGATTGTCCCAGGATAAAAATTGGTCAATTTGAATACCCAACAATTTAGAGTTTTTGTTACCCGTTTAATGGGTACATTGTCAATCATAATGTTAGGTTCAGATATAAGATTATTAATTCTTTGTAAGATTAAGACTTGATTTATTAGCTAATAGCCACTCTTTAATCTGATTAATCAAGTCGCGATTAATTTTAGATTCAATCTGTTGTATTGACTTGCTAGAAACAGTTAGGGTAGTGTCATCTGCAAACATTCTAATATTGGAAATTTCCACACAATTTGGCAAATCGTTCATATAAATAGAAATAGTAGAGGTCCCAATATGGAACCTTGGGGGATTCCATAATTGATTTCACTTGGAGATAAAAAATACCCATCTACGCAGCACATTTGAGAACGATTTGTTAGGTAAGAACTAAGAAGGTTTACTGCGGATGAATCAAAGCCATAAAAACCTAATTTTTTAGTCAAAATTTCATGATTAACCGTATCAAAGCCGGGCTTTTTTCAAGTCCAAAAACACTGCAATATTAAACAAACCATGATCCATGTTTGAGTACCATTCACTGGTGCTATGTAATGCCGTCCTGCATGCTTAAGCTCCCTATTTATGAATAAACGTCTACTAACATAGATAATGAGTTATATTGTAGCCTGC